AGCAGGCACTGGGGAAGTCCCTGTTCCCCCGTGCACTACCAGGAGTGACCAGGAATAATGGTCACAAGCTGGCAGAGAGTAGATTTAGGCTAGATATCAGGAGGCGCTACTTCACATTCAGGGCGGCTAGGATCTGGAACCAACTTCCAAGAGAAGTGATGCTGGCTCCTACCCTGGGGGTCTTTTAAGAGGAGGCTAGATGTACACCTTGCTGGGTTTGTTTGACCCCAGTACTCTTTCCTGCCATGGCAGGGGGTCAGACTCAATGATCTGCTCAGGTCCCTTCCAACCCTAGAAATTAAGAAACTATGAAACTGCCTTGGTATTCTGACAGTGAAGAAGTTTTTCCTGATATCCAATTTAAACATACTTTGCTGTAACCTCACACTATTGCTCTGCATCTGACTCTCTGCAGTAAGAGAGGAAAGTTGATTTTTCCCTCTTTATAGCAGCATTTCAGATATTTGAAGAGTGCTATCATGTCCCTTCTTAACTGCCTTTTGTGCAAGCTGAACATGCCTGTTTCCTTCAACCTCTCCTTGTATGGCTTGCTTTTCATGCCCTTAATCATTTTGTCACCCATTTCTAGACCCTCTCTAACTTCTCCACTTTTTTTAAATGTGGAGCCAGTACTCTAGATGAGCCTAAGCAGTATGAGTAAAGAGGTACTATCACCTCCCATGTTTTGCACCTAACGCCTCTATTGATGCATTCCAAAACTGCCTTTGTCTTTTGTACAGCTACATCACACTAGACTCATACTGAGTCTGTGATCTATAAAGACTCCTAAATCCTTCTGTATAGTGCTGCCATCCAGCCAGGTTTCACCTATTTTATATTTGTGTTTTTTATTATTCTTCCTAAGGTGTAGCACCTTGCATTTGCCAGCACTGAACTTCGTCCCTTTGGCTCCAGGCTAGCTTTCCAGTCCGTCAAAATCCTTCCAAATTGTATTCCTGTCCTCCAGGTGTTCATAGTCTTTCCTAGTTTCATGTTGTCTGCAGATTTGCTCAAGAAGCTCTCTAGTCCAGCATGTTCATTGATAATAAAAATGTTGAATAGCAGTGGGCCCTCTGTGGAACTCCACTTGAAATCTCCTACCATTCTGATATGGATCCTTTAACAATTACCCTTTGCTTGTAGCTATTGAGCCAGTTGTGTATCTACCTTATGGTATCTCTGTGTAGCCCACGTTTCTCCAATTTATTTATAAGAAGGTTGTATGGGACTTTATCAAAAGTCTTGCTGTGCTGAAGTCCAGATACACTATATCCACTGGATTCTCTTCATCCAGCTAACTAGTCATCCTGTTGAAGAAGGTGATCAAGTTTGGTTGACAGGCTGTACTTTATAAATCCATGCTGGCTGCTTGTAATCAGCACTCCCTCCTCTGGGTGCTTGTAAAATGGCTTTTCTTAGGATATGCTCTAGTAATTTCCTGGATATCAAGATGAGGCTAACCAACCAATAATTCCTTGGATCATCCTTTTGCCTGTTTTAAAGAAGGCACTATGCTGACCCCTTTCCAGTCCTTGGGTAGCTTACCTGTCTCCCATAATTCTGAAGATATTATTGCCAAAGGCTCCAAGATCTCCTGTGCTAGTTTCTTGAGTTCCCTGGGATGAAATTCATCAGGCCCTGCTGATTTCAGTTCATTCAAACCCATCAAAATCTCTCTGACTGTTTATTTTGTTATCTCATCCCTTAGCTTGTTCCCTTCTTTATCCAAATAATTCTTATTGGGTATCTAGTTGCAACTTAACATTTTAGTAAAAATTGAGGCAAAGTAGCTGTTGAGTAGCTCTGCCTCTTGCATCTGCTATTAAGAGTTTGCCCTGGCTATTTAACGGTAGGTCTGCTTCTTCCTTGGTCTTTCTTTTCTGGACTACATACTTATATAATCTTTTCTTATTGTCCATAACCTTTTTCACTGGGTGCATCTCATATTTTACCTTCGCCTTCTTGATTTTGTTCCTCCACGTTCTTGCTATTTCCCAGTGTGCTTCCTTGGTGACCTGCCCATCTTTCCACTGCCTGCATGCTTTCCTTTTGCATTTGAGACATCCTAGAAGGTCCTTGTGCATCCACATAGGCCTTTTGCCATTCTTCTTTTGCTTCATGTCTAAACTGTTTCTTACTGGGCTTCCAATATTGTGCCCTTTAGAAGCTTCCAGCCCTCCTGAGCACCTTTATCTTTCCCCATGGCACCATGCCTACTATCTCCTTAAGCTGGCTGAAATCTGCCTTTTTGAAATCCAGTGTCATAGTTCTGCTGACCTTGTGCTTTCCCCATCTCAGTATCATGAATTCTGTCATATTATGATCAGTTCCTTTCAAGTTTCTCATCATCTTCATGTCTTCCACCGATTCTTCCCTATTGGTCAGGACAAGATCCAAGGCAGATGAATCCCCTATTTGTATCCTCAACCTTTTGGAAACAGAAAGTTGTCCCCCACAAGTTAGGAATTGGCTTGGCATTTTGTTTTGCTGTATTATTCTTCCAGCAGATGTCTGGACAATTGAAATCTTCCATCAGTACCATCTCATAACTTTGGGATGATTTGGTCACCTCCTTGAAGAGTGCTTCATTACATCTTCTTCCTGAGTTGGTGACCTATAAGAAGTTCCCATCATTATATCAGTACTCTATCTTTTACCTTTTATCTTAACTCAAATACATTCTGATCTGCTAACTTCCTCCTCCTGAACCAGGGAACAAGGTGTATGCATGCTTTTTACATACGAGGTGGCACCACCACCTTTTCTCCCAATCCTATCATTCTGAAACAAAGTATAGGCTTCAATGCTGACATCCAGCCATAAGATGCGTCTCACCAGGTCTATGTTACACCAATCAGATCATAGTTTTTTTCACAGGCTGTGACTTCCAATTTACCTTTTTCTCCAGACTTCTCACATTTGTATACATACATCAAACCCTTTTGCATTCCAACCTGCATGTTTCCCTTTTGCATCACTTGTTGCTGACCTGCGGCTCTGGCCCTTTCCCAGAGTTGATCTGCTTCTTCTAGTCCTTTCACCAACCCCCATGGAACCTAGTTTAAAGCCCTCCTTACTAGGTTGGCCAGCTGATGCTAAAAGATGCTTTTTTCAATTCTAGTTAGATGGATCCCATTTCTTGATAGCAGTCTGCCTCCACAGAGCATGTGTCCATTATTAAATAGTCCAAAGGCTTCACATCAACACCATCTCAGCCACAGCTTTACTTCCATGATACAATGGTCCCTGCCTGGGTCTGTGCCTTCCACTGTGAGAACTGATGAGAGCGCAATTTATCCTCCAAGATCCTTAAACTTTTTCTACTTCCTTTGCTCCCTGGAGGACACCTAGGCCAGGGCTGCCGTCTTGGGGCTCTACTAGCTATGCCAGCCAAAGAAGGAAGTGCTGGGGAGAGCTGCTAGGGTGTGATGCTGGGGACCACTACTCTGGGCACTAGGGAGTGCTGCTCTAACAACCACCATTCTGCCAGTTCTTTTCAGGTTGCTATGCAATCCCAGCTCCTGTTTGAAGTTTGCTGCAGTTACACACAGATTGGCTTCACTGTTTGGCAGTATCTCTACCTAATAAATAAAAGGACAGTGAAGGAAGCTTTGTTTTCAAGGTGGTGTGTGTTGAGCCTATTGCCTTTTTGGGGGGATTAAAAGGGAATCTTTTCTTGTTAAGTCAAATTGGCAGTGGTCTGAATTTATTTGCTTCCCTCACACCATTGTGGAAGCCCGACTGGGATGAAGAATACAATCTTCCTTGTCTGTCTTTCTATGGGGAGGTTCAGGTTGTCACCACTTGTAGTATGTGTCCAATGCAGGGTTAATAGGTACATCTCCTGGATTTAAATAAGACTTGCTGGTGAACCTTGCAGTTGGAAGGAGAAGGACAGTGGCACTGTGTAGAGCACCAGTGCACCCTGACTAACTGCACTTGCTGCTTAGGCGATGGGCAGGGGGTGGGGGCGGGCGCATGTGCCGGTGCCCTGCCTGCAAGTGCCGGCCGATCACTGCAGCTGCTTCTAGGAGTGGCTGGTGCTTACTCTCAGAAGTGACTGTAGCAATCTCCCGGTGGGACCCCCCACCGGTTGGTGGGACTGGCCTCGGGGGGCAGCAGTCACCCATGGAGAAGGGAACAGTTGAAGTCCTAGAGACTGAAATGCTTCAATGGTTCTTCAGCGGTACTTTTTATCCAAAATTGAGCTGAGTTCTAAGATAAGTCTGGTGGCTGTTGGCTCCACCTTAATCTATTGGTTCTATCCCCCCTTTGCTGCTGGTTAAATGTTTGGTGCATGAGATGGAGGGCGTATTCCAAGCCATATTCTACTTAAAGTCTTTCCTAGTGTCTGTCTCATTCATTGTTGTGCCCTGAGGAATGCACCAAATACTTGGAAATAACTGAGTTTCTTCTGGTCATGAAGCCCTTCATATATCCATGTGTAGCATGATTCTTGTTTAGAAGACAAGTTCTTCACTGTTTTTACCTCCTATGGAAGTTTATACAAATTAATGGAATTGGATTGGAAGTTATGTATGGGCTTAACTGAAGGTGTGCTATCTGCAGAAGAAACTTTTATAACTTTTATGAAGTGGGGAACTGGCCCAAGTGAAGTTTTTTTGTAAGCAGTCCTGTTAATTTAATAGAAAACATATTCCTGATGGCCCATTTCTTTCTTTTCTTTTCCTTCTAAATTAGAAAAAGAGGATGTATGTGTGTTTCAAGAAGTAACTTTGTTAAATCCTGGGCAATTTATGATTCAGTATTTGGATGGAGATCTTTGTTACACAGTACAGTGTTTACAAGAAAAAGATCATAACACAGGATATCATGCTATGGATTTTACAGTGGTGAACTGTTCTCAGCAATGTGAGGCTGTGAGTATTTTTAAAACTTATTAATGCTGTAATTTATGAACAGAACTTTCAGATCCAAACTTTCTGTGTTGGGATAATTTCTGCTGAGAGAGAATACAGACAAGGAAAAAACACACTAACTTGTAATTAGTCACTGGCATGTTAACAAAGTTAAAGGTATTTTTTCTTTTCTTTTACTAGCATCAAATATACATCCCTTCTTCCAGTCATCATAGTTGTTGTGGCACTTGCCGAAATGTGTCATGTCCTTTTTATTCTGAGAATGGAACACTAGCTATATATGAAGTAAGTACTCCTGGGCAGCTGTAACAAATAGTATCAATAGCACACGGCTTTACTCTTGGTTTCTTACAGGAATCTATTTGGTGGCTATATTATGAGAACATATTTTCACTGTTCTTTTGGTTTAATCATGTGACTCCTTTTTCATTCTGTCAGCTGGAAAATAGTTGAGAGCAAAAAAACCCCCTGACTTTAGTGCCTGACTTTCAGCAGTGTGAACCATCCAGAACTTAAGCTAGGGGGCTAAGCACTTCCTAATATCAAGCTCCCTGGGACACAGGAAGTAATACTGATGGAAGGTCTTTGTTTAGGAGAGTTTTTGCTTGTTTAAATGTACCCACATTTGGCAGTATGGATTGCAGAAAGAGGACAGAAACAATTGTTACCATTACATTTTTATGATTGAGAAGACTCAGAGCCTAACATAATGGCTGATTGCCAGCAACCAATGTTAGTGACTCTTGTACTGCTTGGCCCTCCGTACAAGTGCAGGTAAAGGCACAATGGGACCTAATCCATTTTCCACACAGTTGTGCTTCCTGCCATGCCACACAAGGTGTGATTGTGGGATTGAACATTAGATCCAATCACACCTTATTTCAGGTGTAGGGGAAGCCTGATCCTGGGCTTCCCCTGAACCAGCAAGAAGCAAGCTCCCACAGTTGGGCACCACGTGCAGTCAGGATGAAGTGTTCCATGCCTCATGGGGCTTTTGGCCCCAGCTGCACCACATGTGGGGCACAGCTGGGGCTGAGGGCCCCATCAGTTGTGAGACTTAGCCCCTTCAGCTTTGGGGTACTGCTGTGGTCTCCCAGCTAGCAGTGCAGGGGAAGAGGAGTGCCCCTCAGCTGGGAGTTCACAATGGCTGTGAGATCCCAGTAGCTGAAATCGCTCAACTGTTGCCTGGAGTGCCCTTGCAGCCCTGCAGCTGGGAGGCTGCATTCTTCTGCAGGTGTGTTGTGCTCCTTAGCAGACGGGAGATCACAGCACCTGCGGTCTCCCAGCTGCAGGACTGCCTACATGTGCAAATTAAAGCTGGATAGAAACTGGCTATAAAGTTATTACACATTTTTAAGCAATAACTTTATACCTGATTAGACCTTTTTAAGGCATGATACTTAAATTTCACATATAGCCAGTTTTAAATTGGTTGCTCAATTAGCAACGTAATTGCACAATAAATGCAGCATATAGAGGGGGCCTCAGTGTGAGTAGCTTTCAGAACAGTTGTAAAGCAGTTAGGGATTGTTTAAGAACTTGCATGTGATAATATAAAATTAATACTTATTTGTATCAGTCTCATTTTAGATTGAATGAAATTTTGTGTGAAGCTATTAACAGCATTTACCTTACTGATTATATTTTTTCCACAAAGATAAATGTGGTTGTTAGCTCTGCAGACTAGTACATTGGTAGGAATATTACCAAGGTCATGATCACTTGCTCCTTTTCCTGTTATATGGGAGGTGAAATGACCTGCTAATGGGAGGTTGAACTCTCACTTTTTGCAAATTCCCATTATTTAAAGAAAAGGAGGAAAATAGGGAAGATTTGTCATGCCTCTTTACCACCCTGGAAAGACATGCAGTTTGACTCTTAAGGGCCTTTCCATTGACTTCAGCTTTTGATCACATCTGTAGTGGACCCAGTGCCTTCATAGCCACACTATACTGAGACACGTAGGGTGCAGACAGATGTTAGAACCCACTCCCAGACCAACAGACATTCAGCTGTTGGGCTGGCGGGGAGGGGGTGCTGGAGCTAGCTTGCACCAGCTCTGGCCAGCAGGTTGGGGGCACTCCAGGAGCCTGGGGGAGAATGGAGCCCCTCACTGTGCAGGTACATCCCCCCACCAGCTACCCCGAATACCACAGCCAGGGGGGAGGGGTACCTGTGAGGTAAAGGAACTCCATTCTCCAACCCCCTTCCTCCTCAACTCTGGATATTCAGCAGCCAGGAGCTCCTTATTCATTGCCCTCCCTGCCCCTGACAGCTGTTGGTAGGGCAGGACTGTGCTGGTAGCATTAGCCCAGCTCCACCCCCATGCAAAAAAATTAATCCTGGAGGGAACACAGGTTTCCTAAGGTACTCTGCTTTTGAGCATCTTAATGTGATACCTAATTTAACCAGGTTAATTTTTCATACCATCGGTCATTTTAAAAACACTCTGTAGCCATGCATGTGTGTTATGACATGGCAGTAGAGCACTTCCAGGGGCCAGATCACTCAAAAATGCCACTTCTGTCTGTGCCCATAAGGGCTACTGTAACATTTTGTCTACTCTGTTGGTTTTTTCATAGGAGGGGAGCACCTGGAACTCCAACTGTACTAAATACGAGTGTGCAAAGACGGATGCAGGTGCAGTGATACTGGGATCTAGTGTTGCCTGTCCTCCCTTTAATGAGACTGAATGTACAAAGGTTTGTAGTGTGTGATGGCAAATTATAATGATGAATCTTTTGTTTTGGAGCTTGGTTTTCTCTTCAGGTCTGACATGCATATTGCATTATCCATAGAATGATTAATCTAGAAAATATGTTGGTAAGTAGAAAAAAGCAAAACAAATATAAACCTTTAAATGAGTAGTTCATGGTCTTGTGGTTTATATTTTTGTTTGTTTGATTTATATCATATAATCCAAGTAAAGTTTGCTGTTGGGATTTTGTTTAATCTGTATCAAGCCTGATGCATTTTTTTGTATAGGTAGCTGCTTCAATACTCCTTATTTTAATTCTGAGGAGGGCCCACAGTTTTCAGAGTTTATAAACCAAGTAATCCAGCTCAAGCAGCTTTGCAACTGCAGATAAAGGTGGCATAGTTTCAAAATTCCTTAAATTGAGCAAGGATTAGAAACCTGCCAAGGTGCCTGAAGACTTTGGGATCTCTGTATAACAAGCAGCTCTGCTTTGTGAAGATTATAAATTACTTGCGTATACCTACCTAAAATGTAAATTCTATAAACCAAAGGACTGTGGTTCAGATAATTTGAGTATTTCATACTTGTCCTTTTTTGTTTAAAGAATACTTGTTTTCAGCTTTAATTGTTAGCATACAGAATTATTTTTGTATTTTTGGTGCATTCTTGATGCTAATTTCTTCCAATCCCAAATTAAAAATTGCATCAGAAATTGAACTGTGCTTATGCTTTGGCACTATGCCGAAAACTTCTGCTTATTGTCAAAACTTTGTGATCATGTTTTAATCTGTAATAACAATCCAGATTTTCATGAATTAACTTCCAGAATCTGTCTGATCTTAAATTCAGAAACACTAAGCATTAACTTCAAATGAGAGCCAGTTTTGGAGAGCAGGTCAAATTAATTTAGGATTTAACAAAGATTTAAGGTAACTTTTTAGCACTCTTATTGGAAATCTTGATGAACATGTGTTATGATTTTCCTGTAATAGTACAGAAAAACCATACTTATGGGGTATAATGCAAATAAGAAGTTTTGTTATCTTTCGTATGTTATTTTTACTAAAGTTACCATGCTGCTGCTGCTCAATTTGTAATTTCTGTATATGTAATAAGAGGGAGCAATGAAGTTTTTGTATATGCCTGTATCAGGTAAGGGGAATCCCTTTTTCATTAAAACTTCCTCATGTTGTACTTTCTTCACTCCTGCTTACATACTGTTTGAGAAGAAAACGCTAACAAAGATTAATTACAGTAAAGGAAAGGAAACATGTATGAACTGATGAATCAGAATATATACGTTACAAATTACAAAATTAAAGAGATTTTGTTGTAAAGAGCTCTCTGTCTATAGCTATACAGAACTAGCTATAGTCTGCTAGTTTCTGTAGTACATCAGCAATATAAATCCCTTTTTAATTTGCAGTAAACATGTTATATTAGTACACTGAACTTTTAAAATGTCCCAGTAGCTCCTGAGGATGGGGAAATGATGATAATATTTATGAAAAATGACTGTTCTGTTGATTCTCAGGGGAAACCAGTTGAGATAAGCACAGTCATAACAACAAGCTCATTTTCAGCTATTACATTTTAACAGTTCTGGGATTTTTAATCCATATCCTCTAATGGTGTAAATCTGTGCAACTCAGTTGATTCATTTTTGATGAGATGCCAGTCTACACCAGCTGGAGATCTGGCCATTCATATCCTAAACCTATTCAGATATAATAGGGTATTGCATTGGGCACAGTCTTTTTTGATATATTTTCCTCTTCTTTTCCTAGAATGGAGGCACTGTACAGACTTATAATGATGGCTGCTGCAAGACCTGTAAGTGAAGAAGGCTGCACTACATGCTAGTTTGGCTTTGGTTTTGGAGAGCTGTGTTTTTTAACCTCAGTGGCTGGGACATAAGGAAGAAAAAAGCATGCCGTTCCCAAATCAAGCACAAATGTGATAGTTCTTTTTTAACAGCTATTTATTGAAAGGTCTTGCTTCATATGGCTGCTGACACGGTGATTTTTAACCTTATCCTTCTGGAGTATAACCAAATCTCTCCAAAAACAGCCTGAGGAAGGTGAAAAGTAATCTCATTTGAAATAATGAAATGATTCATTATTGTTAAGATTACTCTAAAACAACACTCATTTAATTTTCATTATAAATGTGCTGAACAAAATTTCTAAAACTGATACCTAATTTGATGATATTTTGAAACAAATCTGTGTAATTATGGGTTTTTTCTGGTTTGTTTTCATATGCTTTCTAGGGCAAGGGTACTGAAATGCATTACTTTTCAGATTAAAAAGTTAACTCTTTCCACCCTAGAAAATATATTTAAACCCAAAATAAGGAGTTGCAGAGCATTGAACAGACAATTATTGATGGTAACAAAAGGCATAATTCTATACAAAATGGAGACTGCTTTTGAGCTGAAGATTGGTAGTTTATGATGTGCAAGTTTGAAACATTAGTAATGAATTATGATTTAAGTCATGTGGCAGATTCTGCTTTAATTTACTGGTGTTTAAAAACAGAACAAACTTTTGAAAACAGAATCCGCCTATCTGCAATTATGAGCTAAGAAAGATGGTGGTGGTTTAGTCTGGGAATGGTAAACTGCATAAAATGAAACTCCTGCAGAAAGAGTTCCTAAGAAATTTCAAGAATAGAGGTGATTGGAAACCACAAGTTATGACTCCCCCTTTTTTCCCCCTTTTCACCAGAATTAAAATATTTGGGGAGGTCTTTCGAAAGGGTCATTCATTTATGAGTTAGAAAAGCAAAGCTGAAGAATAATTCACTGAAGTCCATATAAATGAGGTGGGTTTCATTTAGAAAATTAGACTAAAGTACTGATGACTACAAATATTTTGTGAGTCTTGCAATATCAGGAAAGATTTAGCTTTCACAATGTTTTGTGGCCTCAGGAAAGGCATTGTTATACTTCAGAAATATTTGCTGAGGTGGCTGCTAAAAATTAAAAAGCACAATACATACATGCTATTTTTATTTCATTTATTTTATTTGTTTTTTTAAAACTAAAAGCATGTGCCCTGTGGTAAAGCAGTTAAAAAGACAATTTAAAAATAGAGCTTGCAACACCGTGGGGTTGTAATGGGAACAAGTAATCCTTTTGAAAAGAGCTTGATTAAATGCATGCAAAGTGAGTTCATGTATTTAATTCTTACCTTGCCATAGTTATAAGATACATATTATAAAAGTTTGGTATACATGGAAATATCTTCATGGTTTTGCTTTAACCAGGAAAGTAGGGAGTCACCAGTGAGATCTCTTAGTAGCCACAGAATTTCTAAATTTGGATGACAAAACAGGAATGCTCATCAGTTCTTATAAAAAGAAAAATTGCAGTTGGCAGTGTAAGAATTAATGAAATGTCATTTATGTAAAAATGTTTATTTCACAAGAAACTTATATTCCTAATAATCCTGCCAGGTTCTGGAATGGGTGTATTACCCTTTGCCATTAGCCCAGTAGTCTCTACTGATAGTATTAATTGTGAACCAGGTATTATTTTTAATAATGTATTTTCTTTTTAAATATTGTAAGCATTGTTTGTAGAGAGAGACTTCTATATATGATTATCAGTTCAATATAAACAGTATCACACTGATGCTGGCATGGGACCTGATCCCGAGAGATGTTGCTCCTCTGTTGGCTTCCCACAGAGCATTGATTTTTCCTTTCATAGGATTCAGTTGCTCAGCACCTTTCAGGTTTAGGCACATTTAATGGTTAGGTCATCTTGCTGAAGATCCTTTTTTCCCCCCACTTCTTTTTAATAGCTGCTTATTTATATTAAAATAATTATCATAAGAACAGTGCTTTTACAGATATAATCATCTTGAACTATTATTACCAAATGACCTAAGTTCTATTGTAAGTCTGTAGGGAAGCCCATGGCAGAAACCTTTTTTTTTAAAAAGTAGTGGATTTTATTGTGGAGTCTAGATTTAGAAGATAAGGATTTATGCAACATTTTGTTTTTCACATCTGTCACTTTTTTTAAATGGAAAGAAAAGAAAGTTAAATCTTATAGATAGATACTAAGAAAAAAATTGAGAAGAACTTAAAGAGCAGTTGATGTTTTGTGATGATTATTCCCCGTTTTATCATCACTGACATCTCAGAAAGCTATGATTAATTTCAACGCTTTTTTGATTTCGGTAAGGAATAGCAAACCAAGCACAACTGGTATTCAACACAGATATTATTTTCAAGCAGCTCACTTTAAAAGGAATTGAAAGGGGGAAAGAATAAAGAATGCTCTTTGTTTCTAAATACAAAGTATTTTGGAGTTTTCATGACAGGTCAATAACATTTATAAACAGCAATGTCATATAACAACTGTCAATAATCTATATGCCTATAATATATTGACACTCAGAGGGACTACTTGAGTAATGCTCAAAAAGCTGAGTAAGTAAAGATGGTGCACTAGTCAGAAGAGTTCTGTAGTACTCTCTTTGATATCAAAGTCCATCAGGACAGTAACAGTCAGTCTGTATATGCATTTAATCCTGTGTTAAGTAGTAAGATGCTCCCAATGCACATGTAATACTGGAGCTATGGCTCCTGTAACATGTTACAGTGGGTTATTCAGTATTGGTGGATCTTACTTGCTGGGTTTTTTAGCACTTGCTGATTTCCGTGGAACACAGGGAGTGAGTTGAGGATGAAATAGGACTCCTTTGGGAGGTCTTAATTTACATGCTGGAAATACAAAATGACTATATAGCAAAGCAATTATTTGGAAATAGATTATTAAATTGGTGATGTATAATGTATATAATGAATAGACATAGCTATCTCATTTACTGTGGCATGTAGGTTTTGTATAACTTTTACATATGGTTCCGTACTCTGATTTTTAGCTCTTCAGTGTTGCAAATGTCCTTCCTACTTGGATAGTTTTGCATTTCAAATGCAAGAAGACACATCCACAAAAATCCACAAAACCCTTTAAAATGTTATTGTTGCATTAATGTCTATATGAATTTATTTACCCCAGATGTAACGTAATCAACTCCAGCTCTGGGACTTGTGCATGCACCACATGCGAAATAAATATGTATTTACTGTTTCTTCCCATCTTGAAGCTCTGTCAGACCACTCTGACAGACAGACATTTAAATCTGTATAATTTTCTTTACATAGTACATGCAGAATACGCTTCAGGTTTAAGGATTTTTACTTCCTCATGGCATTAGGTTCCAGAAATGTTTATAAAATCATATTTATTTTCAATATTTAATAGAACTCAACAGCATTAGCACTGAAAAATGCAAGCTCTAGTGTCAATTATGTTTGTATATTCAGCCTTGAAATACTATACATTACCCTTTTCTGTTTGCTGATTAAATATTTTGTCATGTATGTTTAATCAACAAGAGCATCTTAAACTAAATAGTAAATCATGATGACATTTCAACATTTACCACCTCTTTAAAGGTTCCTGGGACTGTTATATCCTGATTATTCCCTAGTTTAAAAGTCTAGATTTTTTTCAGGGAACATTTAACAGCTATATGATATCAATGTATTAAATATGAATATATATTACATATTCCAGTGCTTAAGAGCTAATGGTGAACATTTGCTAGAATGTATGATTTGGGTGTGGAAAGAATACATTCACTGTATAATTAAATTAAAATATAACTATTTAGCTATTATAATTCTGTGAATGTTTCTTTCTTAATAATGAACAAATACAGAGCAGAATGTATATTTAAAGAATTAACATTTTCTATGTTTTCTTAGGCAAAAAAGAGGAAAGAATTTGCCAGAAAGTGACGGTGAGAACAACTATAAGAAAAAATGACTGTATAAGTCAAACCCCAGTAAGTATATAAAACTGCATCCTTTCTGCTTCATGGTAAGCTTCAGCTAGCCAAGAAAGTTGCATATTAAATGAGGATTGCAGCTATCAGAATTCACCCAAAATGCTGTAATCTTCTCATAACTCTGAGAATGTTATTCTACTTGTCAGTGTAAGTAAAAATTAATTGTTCCTGCCTCTGTGGCACAAATGCCAACCCCCCTACATGAAATAACATCTGTCTCCAAATGAAAAGCACACAATATAATTGCCTACCACTGACAAAAGCCATTGACCTCTTCATCATGAAAAAACCTCCCACTCTAAAAGAAGAGGAAAATGTTACCGTTTACACATGATGGGAATACCACCACATTCCTCCTTAAGGACCTCAGTTATATTAAATACCCTTTCTTTCTCATAATACATCTCTGCATAACATGGTGATGGTCTTCTTTATGAAGATAATTTAAGATATCTGACCTCTGCTTTAGTGATGTTCCATTTATAAAATCTGTTACGTATGCAATGTGTGAATGTGTCAATAAGGTGTGGATAAAGGAGAACCAGTTAACATAATTGGTTTAAATTTGCAAAAGGTCTTTGACAAAATGCCACAAAAAATCTGTTGAGAAGCTTTAGTGGTAGGGTGAGAGTAAGGTTTTGTGATCAACCAGGAAGTGAGTAGGAGGTAAAGAAAATAATAGAATCAAATAGTCACTTTTTGTCATGGCAAAAGGTTGATGTGAAGTGCTTCAAGTTTCCATTATAGCTCCAGTGTTTAAATATATTTACTGATGATCTAGAACAGTGATGCCCAGCCTTTTGTCCCTATGGGATGGGTGAGTGCCATGGGTTTGCTCCAGGCCAGATCCCATGCAGTGTCATAAATGGGGTTGGTCCATGGATATACACTAATCCCAATGTAAATAGCAGGGGCATCCCACTCAAAAGTTTAGGGATGCAGCTGGGCACCCGGTCGGTGTGCAGGAGCAGAGGTGACTTCTGGTTGCTGCCTTGATCACACAGCTGCTGGTAACAGCCACTTTTTATTGGTACCCACCAAGTTGGTGCCCAGGGCAGTGCCAGGGCATGCAGCGCCAATGCATCACTGGTAATAACCTTGCTACAAGACTGACTCTATTGTCTACTTCCCATTTTGAAAACTGACTGTACGTATGATACCAGATATTAAAAAAAAAAAAAAAAAGACTTTGAAATAAATTTAATTCAAAAGAGAGAACAAAATGAGAACAAAGAAATTCACCTCAACTTAAACCTTTTACCATATGGTTTAGTTTAGGTATCTTTCGAATTATTTTAGAAAGGTAACATAATGAAATATAAGCAATGTATTGTAAAATGTAGAAACAGATTCTAATTACAGCTGATTTTGATATTTTTTTTATTCCATTGTGGAAATAAAATGTGAGATGTCTGACCATGTCAATCTTTCTTTCACTGACAGATAAATGTGGCTTCTTGTGATGGGAAATGTCCCTCTGCAACAATTTTTAATGTCAATATTGATAGCCATTTAAGATTCTGTAAGTGTTGTCGTGAAAATGGAGTACGGAATCTGACTGTGCCACTTTACTGCTCAGGAAATGGCACTGAAATTATATACGTCATACAAGAGCCTACAGACTGTTCATGCCACTGGAACTGATCATTTCCACATATGTGTATTATCATATTGAATTGAAGTTGGTTTCCTGCCACTGCAAAAAATGTTCTAGCCAAGTGTTTCAGCCAACATGATTTCTTAGCAAATTTAGTAGAAATTGTATAGTTATAATGGCAAGAACATTTTCATATATTGGCAAATGGACGCATTTCTTCTTCATCTCAAGGTACTAAGGTGTCAGTTATTTACTTCAGTAACTTCAAAAGGAAAATGATTAAATTGCTTTAAAAAGAGAAAAAAAAAAGATTGGTTGTGTTGGATCATCTTTACCTTGCTCAGAAGTTAATTTTTGTGAAAAAAAAAATTCCTTTTATCTTGGTGGTAGTTCCCTTAGGAATTACAGAATGACTAGAACCTGCTTGAATTGAAATCCACTGAGGCCTCATACCCACATTCAAATAATCTGGGACAATTCTCCCAGGCTTGTTCTCCTGGTAGACAAACCTACCCAGAGTTGCCTGAACCAGCATTTGAATGCTGAATCCTGGAAGAGCAGAGAGCTTACAGTGATCATGCTGTGTAGCCAGGGGGACCCTGTGCGCATATCTCAGTGTGCTCCACAGGCTCCCTCAGTCTGCCTGGAGACAGAATGGCAGCAGTGCACAGAGCAGCTCAGATTGGAGAGCCCAGATTGCCTGCATCTCCCTACAGCACAGTGTGGGAATTGTGAAGAGGGTGTGTTCTGTTTCCTGCTCATTTAGAGCAGCAGAGTCCAGCAAGCAACATATTGCATCCATGGCAGGGGTTGCTGGGAGCAAAGCCTCCTGGGATAATGGAGGACTGTGCTGTGGCTTCTTTCAGAAAAGAACTTGCATAAACATTTGCTCTGCCAGGAGAAAATCTCCTGGGGGTGATTTAACCTTGGTTGTTCCCAATTATTTTTTTCCTGGGGTGGCCATTTTTATTCTGGGAGAAAAATCCTGAAGAAACTGAATGTCTGAGACATGGTCGAAGTAACTTTCTGACTGCCACTTTTTTTTTTTTTGTATGCTTTAAAAATCCTTGGCATAAATACTAATGTACTATTACATATATAGCATTTTGCTTTTTTTAATACCCCATAGCTTTGATTATTGTAATTAGTCAGAAGGAACTAAAGGGATCTGACTTTGTCACAATTGTTATAAATATCTAAAGATTTGCTGTGGAGAGCAGGCTTATACTTCACATTGATTTTTTGGTTCCTATAATCAATTAGAGGAGAAATTGGCTATTTACTGACCTATTGAAGTGTCAGATGAGATTCTATTAATCTATTTTCACTTCTGATAATAAATCAAAGAATGCACCTTTTAGATATTTTAGTTGGGTTTTATCCTTTGTTTAATGGACAGAAATCTTTGTATTCAATATTTTTAAATGAACTAAATGTTAAGATTGTTTAAAAAATATTAAGGATGGACGCATTGCTTTAATCAGAGTTCTATCATATGGAGTCTGGGAAAGGATAGTTTGTGGGTGGTTTAGTAAGCAGATACATTAAATAAAAGCATGGAATATGTTACACATAGTCTTGTATTCTAAGCAGCAAATGTATTTTCCATTTTCTTAGCCATGGAATATTTATTGCCATATTAAAAATAAGAGATCTAACTTTGTCTAGGAGTAGATTGCCCTATAAACTCATTGGCTGAATTCTTAGTCCTATTGAAATTGATGGGAATTTTTCCATGAATAAAATAAGAGGTCGGATTGTTATATTATATTTATAGTGAGAAATCATCAATATAAAAATGAAAAAGTGATGTATTTAAGGCTATTTTGCATTCCTCACCACTTTGTGCTGAAATCTAAAATGATTGATCATGGAGAAAAATAATGTATATACAGACATAAAATCAATTGCTATTTATTCATGAGATTTTCTATGTCAGTCATTAATTATGTTAAATGATTGCTATAACAAAAAATGGAGGTGGTTTAATAATTTAAAATATTGTGAGACTAGTTATTAGTAAACTATTGAGTCAATATTATAAAGAAATAATATTAATCTACTGGCTGCTTTTTTAATACATTGTGTAGAACTTTGACAAACTGTTAATTTGTGCGAGAGCTGCTTCAAGTTAGTCTAGGTAGGACTTGTTTTCCTAATGCTGTACGAATCCTGGCTGTTGTTATAACAGTTTCATTCACTGGCCTGTCCTAAAGGTCTGCATAATACCATAGTGTACTGGAAAAAGAAATATTCAAAGAAAAAATTATTTTTTTAAGGGTTTGGTCTAAAATAAGGACAAGAATCTTATTTACATTAAGAAAATATGGGCCAACATTTGTTAATGTATTTGGTATTTCAAAAAATATCAGACAAATTTAAGCAAGTTAAATATGGTATGAAATATTAAATATAAATCATGGAATGTTTGATGGATTTTGATTGAAATGGAAATTATTTTATTTGTAAGCAAATTGTTTTGTAACATTTAGCACTGTATGCATAATTAAAAAGAAGTCAATAAACATTATTTTGAAGGATTATTTGGATTACGATGAATTAATGCTGACTAGTTAAATGTACAGTACAAGTCTTAAGTGATTAACAGACTCCTATAAGCACTAACTATAGCATAAAGTCTTACTGCACTGGAATTGCAGGCATTTGAAGCTTTTTTTTATCATTTAGTTTCACAAAGACATATATCATGGGATTACTTTAGGCAGAATCACCCACATGAAATCTAGTAGGAGTAGAATCAAGATACAAGCCATGTAAACATTTGCAGTCTTTGGAATCTACCCTTAGACATTTTAAAAGGGTCATCAGATTTTGATGAGCCTGTAGTGAAACATAAGATTTCTGTTCTTTCTTCAGTCTGTTAACTTGTGGGCATTCAGAGCCTTTGCATAAGGAAATCTTTGCATATTATACTAAGGAAATATGAAAAGTAAAAACATGGCATAGGATTTTGTTCCACTAAATGTGTTAATTTTTATATATTTATTGGAAGCACAGTTATTTGTGGCCAACAGTTCTCTTCCTGTATTCATATTACTTATCGTACTGTTATTTTAAAGGTTGATTATTTTATATGTTGTTGCATTTCTATTTTTCTATTAGGGCTTTTTAAAACCTCAAACTAATGCTGTGTGCGCCATGGAATTCGTTTGTTTATAATAAAACGTAAGGGGGTTCATACACCATTTCATTTTGTACAAGGTAAATCCTGTTTACAAAAGTGAAGCTGTTGTTTCTTCTTTTGAGGGATTCAAGTAATGTTTTTCAGTATTAGGTACATCCATTCAGAATCTGATTCCCATCTCAAACGTGAATGTGCTATATTTGCAACATTTGGCTCCTTGTATCTTTGGTCTGATACCATAGAGTCAAGACATCTGCTGCTGATGGATAGAATTTGTGTCTTTATAGTTTCATAGTTTCATAGATTTAGGGTCGGAAGGGACCTAATAGATCTTCTAGCCTGACCCCTCGCCAGGGCGGGAGAACAGCAAAACCCCAAAACAAGAAACAGAACTTTAGTTTTCAGTCTTGGGGTTTACAGTCTTGGGTTTAATCTGGTAGCCTCATGCTGTGTGGCTATACCAGTCTAGTTGAACTAATCCAGAACTCTTCCTTTTGGTCTTCTGTAGTTTTGGTTAACTAAATCTACCTAATGCCCACTAGTATGTTTATTGTGTATCAGTTTTGTACAATGTTATCCTGCTCTGTCTTTTCTCTTTCCTTCTCCTTTAATTAAAAAACATATTAAAACAGGATTTACCTCATACCAAATATAACAGGTAGTCATACTTAGATTTCAAATACATTTGCCTTTGACAGAAGTTTACAACCAAACAAATGCATGCAAAACAGGGAACTTACAGCTGTTGCTTACTAATTTGATATTATACCTCTTGGAAAGAAGAAAACATTGGCATAAAGTCCCTGCATTACAAAGCCCTATCTCAGATTTTGGCTTATGCTGGTGGTGCTCCGGTGCATCTCCTTCGTACTACTGAAAATGAAAAATGCAAGAGCTGGAATGACAAGAGATGGGTAGGGAAGACCAAGTATGAAGGATTAGCAACTTTGTTATGAAGTTCTCTTGCTCTGGGTTGGAAGATTTGGATTGTTACACTCCCAACTAAGACTGGAAATGTAAGATTAGGTTCCCAGGAGATCAGATCTACATATTGGTTTCATACAAGTAGCTTTTAATTCCATAACCATTTCTTGGCATTTTACTCATCTGCATAAATGTTTGGGAGAATGAAAATTAGGACTGTGCACTCTAACGTTCTGGGCAAAACACAGGTGAATAATGTCAGGCTTGCACATTTGCCGCATATGCTGAAAACAGTTGCATTTTGGGGGAGTACTGTTTTGATGAAAATGGAATGTGCCGCATACAAGTTAATGAGGTTTAGAAGTACTCCTGCTTATATCTTAAAATCAGCCCCTTTGAACTTTGTGATTACAAAGTGTTGCAAAATGAAATGGAGTATGAATGCTTCATAAAATAAATGGAATATTCAACAGCTTACTTTTGGCATTCATAAGTAAGATAACATTCTGGTGTGATGCTTTTTGCTGGTGGGGGAGGGGGTGTTTAAAAAAAAATTATTGGTGCTACGGGTTTTAGCGCAGCAACATGAGTTACGTTTTATTGTTTACTTTTTCACTGAAATTAGCATTAAGCCCCCAACTTCTAAACAGCTGGGATCCAGCTTACCTGGTTTACTTAATGTTTTTCAATTTTATGTGTGTGTTGCATAATGTTCCAGTGCTAGTCTTCTTTCTAAGTGTACAGAGAACAAAATTTTGGCAGCATGTGAAAATAGATACTGCATATAAGAATGTGTGTCCATCGTTGCTGGTTGTTGTTTGTTTTCCCCTTAGCACTATGGATGATTTATCTGGAGGGCAATACATTCAAAGTTATGAGTTTATAAATTATTGCTTACAAATTGTGATGATTTTAATGATTCTTAAAGAGTATTAACCACTATTTAAATACTTTATTTTTGGAAGGCTAGTATGTGGGAGGCTTCTTGGAGGAAAGGGGCATCAGTAGCTGCTGAGCAGGGGAGTCAGGGGTACAGCTTCTGAATTCAAATATTTCTAGACCTTAAATGCTGGAGGCTGCAAGCAAGGGAGGAACAATGTAAAAACCACTGGTCAAACTCAAGCAGACAAGATTATGTGATACATTTTATTAGACCAACTGAATAATGGTAATACCCAGTTCACTCTCCCTTTCAGCATTGTAAGAAAAACAACCATAAATAAAAAAGGGAAGCAGGAGATGATCTTTTAAAAGCAAAAGCTTGAAAATGCACCCCCCCCTTGATTGACAGTAAGTTTGGAGACCACCAAACCAACTTCAGCCGGCTTAAGCTTGC